TTTAGCATAGCAGTGATCTTTTAAATGTATGAATCAGACCATGTCAAACTCTTCGGTATCCTCCCATTCACTTAAAAGCCCAGACTCTCTTTGGTGGCCCAGAATAAGCCTTCTGCGATTTTGCCCTTGTCTGTCATTCCACATTATCCTCTTTTAGCACCTCTTTCCCCACAAAGGTGCTGCTGCACCCACTGTCTACTCTCAGTTTGCATAGCACTATTACAATTGCAATTATGTATTTGGGTTTTTTTTTTTTTTACTATTTTGCTATAAGTCTCTGCTTCTAGACTTAATAATGATTGTCTTGGTTTGATTTGGTTTAGTTTTTAACTATAGTATACTCAGTCTCCCAAAAATTCTGAGCAATAGTAAATAATCACTCAATAAATACATATTGAGTAAAAGAATGATAGACTAGATCCATAGATATTCATGGGGTTTTATTGCCTACAGAATAGAAGTTTTAAAGTTCCTTAATTTGGTGGTCAAAGCCTTCACCAATCTATCCCCAGCCTAGTACCGAAGCCTCACCTTTCATTCTCCGCTTCAGTTACATGACCCTCAGCTTCTCTCTATCCTATGTCAGGTTATGGGACCCGGCCACCATTGAGCCTCTGCTCTTCTTTACCTCTCTCCTTTTAAGACTTGTCTTTCTCCTTCAAATATTTGTTATATGTCCATATCCGAGAGACCCTCCATAATTTCTCCATTTGGAACTCAGTCTCCCTCTATACATCCACAGAATTTTGTGCTTGAATATATGATCTCCAAGAAGAGATAGCATGTGCATACTGGGCTTCTTCTGTCACTTTCAAGTCATGGGACTCTGAGTTAATAATGTAAACTCTGATCTACAACTTTCTCATCTGTGAAATATGTGTTGAATCGGGCTTTGACCTTGCAGGGCTGTGGTGCAGATTGGTGGCAATAGCTATGTTGTACATAGTAAACACTAAAAAAATAGTATTTGCTTTTGTGAAGGTGATAGTACCCCAGTCTACTTGGTAATATAAAGTAGACTATGTGGGCTTTCTCCTCTATATTGTTCAGTGGGTTTGTCTAATTCTTCTTTATCTAACCCAAATCCCTTATGCTCTTCTTAGCAGTATACACATGGTAACAGCCCAACAAATGTTTGAATGAATGAATGAAAGTCATAGTATATATTCAAACCCTCATAACCTGTTGAAGAGTCCCATGAAATAGGAGGCTGGGGCTACTGTTTTATTTCAAAACAGTTTGGTGTGGCAGTTACTAGATCAGCCCAAGTTTCCAACAATCCCAGCTAAATCCTCCAGTTTTAATGCTTTAAGGCTCTTGGTCCTACCTTCTCCATGTGGCTGGACATTCCCTGCCATCTGTGAGAAACAGACCAATGGCCTACATAAGAATCTGAGAATGGTAAAATTTTCAAATTGCAGACTATCCTGAGAATTTTATTGATAATGAGTAGTTGGGAGTTTTTGCCTCAACTTTTTTCTCTTTTAAGACTGCAATATTTTGAAAAGAGTTCCAGCCAAAAGAATTTATTGCCTCTCCTTGCCTGGATCCTAAATTCCTGTTCAAAGGCAGCTTGTTTTAACTGAAAATGTTCAGTCTCTGCCCTCTTTCCAACCTAGGTCTGTTTCCTTGACTCATTCGGGGCCACTGTAGTAAATAATTTGGAAGTGAGGCTTTGAGATTTGAAGAATATGTAAAAGGACTCGAGGGGAAAAGGGAAAGGTATCCTCACACATGTGCCACCTTTAACACTGTCTTTTAAACAGCTTGTCCAAAACGACCAATACCTTGTAGTAGAGTTTTTACTGGAGCAGCCCAACTCCTTTCCCTTATAGAAGTTCAAGAGAGTTGGTAAACAATGATACCTTCTGTGCTTGCTCCAGGTCTAGCTGTCAGTATGAGTTGGGGATGAAGAGATCAGGCTTCTGTCTCTCCTGTTCATTCATTCAGTCAGCTGCATGTTACTTATCAACTAGGTGTAGTCACACACTTCATGCCAGCAACCAGTTAGGCAGGCATTATTATAGATGAGGAGACTGAGACTCAGAGAGATAGAAAAGCTGTGCAAGGTCTAGTTCTCTGTTCCTATGTTAGACTGTCTTCCTAAAACTTTGTAGCTTAAAACAATACTAGCTATTCTTTCATGTTCTCTGTGGGTCGGAAATGTGGGCAGGTCTTAGTGGGTGGTTCTAATGTGGAATCTGAGGCAACCAAATGGTGGCTGAACCTGGTACAGCAGAGTGCTAGAGAAGTGTAGACTGACCAGGGATCTCTCCTATCTCACTTCACATATTCTCAGCACTTCAAGGAAGTTATACTCTTTGTGTGGAGGCTCTGGACTTCAGTTCAAGTATTCAAGCAAGCAGGGTGCATGGTACAAGGTACTTTGCCTCAAAAATCCCACAATGTCACTTCTACTTCTGCCATCCTCGTGAAGGTCACATTTATAGAATAACATGGGAGATGGGAGATGTTGTTTCAAACATCTTTGGAAAATACAATCTGCCACACACAGCACGTGGCAGAGCTAGGATTTGGATTAGACATGTCTGCTTCCAAGACTTTTGCTGCAACCTTCTAGTTCGGTGCACTGGGACCTCTGCTTTCTTCTGTGCCCTATAACTCTTTCTGTCAGCATACACATTCATGATTTGTTCTCCCCAAGCTGGGTTAGAGAAGCAAGCTTGTCTCTCTGGGCCTTGGCCGTGAGACAGCCTCCAGGGGTTGCTGGTCAGAGAGGCCATGCCCAATGCCAACTTGTGGACTTTTTAGAGAAGGGGACAGAGAAGGTCGGTCACATCCAAAGGAAGAAAGCAGGTGGCAGCCCCAGAGCACAGCGAGCCTGTGGTGCATCTCACTGTCATAAACAACGTGTCTGGTGTTTTTCCTTCTCCCACCAGGCGCTGGCCTGGGATGACTCAGGTTTTGACAGAAAAGGTGCCTTCAAGTCAGAAAGCAGCCCAGGGCAGTGGAAAACTCATGGTTCTGGAGTTAGAACTGCCTGGATTTGAATCCTGACTCTACTATTACCAGTTATAGGGCTTTGGACAAGTTCCTTAACCTACCTAACATTTATGAGGTACCCAGTCTTTGGGGAAACCACCTACCTTCTTTGAACAATGGGATGTATAATAGGGTATTTCATTGGGTTGTTGTTAGGACTCAGTGAGTCAATATACATGAGCTTGCTCGACACAAGTTAAAGATTACATAAGCACTGGCTATTATTACATATACATTTAACAAATATGCATTTCACACTTATTGCCAGACAAGTATGTGGTCATTTAAGTGATCAGGTAAGATAAGACTTCTTTCACCACAGAACTTGCAGGCTAGAGGAGCTATTACAAAGAAGATACAGTTAAAGTACAGTAGAATGAGTGGTCTGGTCAGTAAGTAACTAGAAGAAAAGGCCATGGAAAAATCTAAAAGGGACCCTCTCCCAGTGAGGGCACCACGGAAGATGTACCCAGTGATGTGGCAACTGAACGGGGTCTGTAGGCTGAAAAGGAGCCCATGTCATAAGACATGTGAGCAGAAGAGTGGTCTGAGAAGATAGCACAAAGTTTGAAAGCAAAAGAAGTTCAGGATTGCTGGATTGTGAGGGGCAAATGGGTGAAAGTGGAAAACGGTAAGCATAGGGCTGAGAAAATAGTCAGGGACCCAACTATAAAGAGTCCTAAAAATCATGGCAGAAATTTAGACTCTGAAGGCAATTGGGAGCCATGGAAGGGTTTTACCTAGCTGAATGACATGGTCATATCTACATTTTAGATCAACCTTGTGGGCTACACTGTAGAAAAATGCCCTGAAAGAGGCAGTGCTGTAGCAGGAAACCCATTAGGATAGGATCACTGTACTCCAGGAGAGAGATGATTCTGGACTTCTTTGGAGGATGGAAAGGGTGGAAAACTTCAAGAGACTGGAGTTGTCTTAGGGGAAGGGTTGGTGAGAACCTACATATTCAGAGCTGAGGAATGAGGGAGAAGGAACAGCTAAGGGTTAAGGTGAGTAAACACTTAATTCCCATTTATGAGATAAGTGGTAGATGCTTTGGATGGATGGTGTCAGCTCAGAAGCTATGGAAGTGGGGACAAGAGCACCACTCACAGCCTTGGGATGAGGAGAGGAGTATCCTGGAAGGAAGAGAGGACGATCCTGGAAGGCTCTACTAAAGAGATATCACCTAATTGGAGAGTTTATGGTTATAAATTATCCAAGGAAAAGTTGGGAGATACTTAAAGCAGAGGAAATAGCATGTGTGAAAGCCGAACGATGTCAGATGTAATGCACAGGGCAGATACTCTGTGCTGTTGAAGAGTTGATTGCCATACTAATTCATATTAGGGTATTGATTATCAATATAGAACTTTCCTCTTCCCTGGGGAGTTAACACTTTAATAAACAGGTCCTAAATCCTTACCTTAAGGATTCATTATTGATAGAATTTCAAGGAGCAACAGGGATACTACTTAGAGTGAGAAGATTTTTCCACTGTATCCAAGGTTACCAAAGTTGATGACTGAGGGTCAGCAAGCCCTGATATATATATATATATATATATATATATATATATATATATACACACAATAGAAGATCTCTTGCCCTTGGGTCTTGTCATCTGGCTTCATCCTAAGCCACCTGAGATTAAACCTCAGAAGCCCAGTGATTTCCAAAAGACTGCAGCATAGTTTAGAAGCTAAATGTGCACACAGACTTTGGGGGTAAGGTCACCTAGACCCTTAATGAAGGCCCTTCCTTCTCAGTTCTGTGATCTTAAGAAAATTACTTTACTTCTGTGCACTTCATTTCCTTGCTGTAGAATGGGGATTATGCCATTTAACATTTTGTGAGGATCCAAAAAGACAGTACATACCAAAACCAGAACAATGAGTGGTGTTGCTGTTTTTATTACTGTTGTCATTTTTACTACTAGGCCTCTTTTTACTCTGCTTCAGTCTCTTTTCAAAGTTGATCCTTAATGCACACAACTGCAGATATGAAGCTGGGGCGCAATGTGGCAAGAACATTTTTGGATTATTACCGGCTGAACTCCCTGGTTGAGAAGGTGGCTGTCCCCATGCCAAGGCTACGACGGTAAGTGGCAGTCTATCAACCTGGTCTCAAGTCCTACATCACTGGCTCTGTGTTCAGGGAAGCTTTCCTTAACCTCTTGTTGGTCCTAAGTTTCCTACCTGTACCACAGAAAAAGCAATCCAAGCCCTGCTACAGGGACTGCATGGATGAGAAGGGCATATTTCCTGAGCATGAAATACCATCTCCTTTAGTTTCTCCTCCAGAGTTCCAATCATCCCACCATGGCCTAGGGCAGGTCTCTTGACTTACTTGTTCAAGCTGAATGATATATCAGGGCCCATGTTCCACAATACAATGAGTCCTGCACTCTGAGATCACACAAAATCTTCATGACAGCATGCCCTAATGATACTCTATCTCAGACAGTATGTGGATGGTCTCATTTCTGCTCTTGCATGGGAATTTCCAGGGATTGGGCATTGCTGAGGAGATGAAATCAGTCATTGTTTTAAGTTAGCTGGAGTGTTTGCATATGCTGTTCATCTTCAAGGTTTTACACAGGAACTCTAATTATCTTATTTCTCCATCTGTAAGGTGGATACATACTTTTCAGATTATTGTGAGGTGTACATTAATGCACTCAGAGCAGGGTGGGTGTATAGATGTCCCATCAGTGAATGACAGTCTCCTTCTCTCAAGACTCAAAGGTTAGGCTAGAAAGTATACATTCCTGAAAAGTTCCAACTTGGGTCCCCTGAAGGGACCAACTTGCAGGTCCAGTGAGAGAGGGGTTGAGGGTAGGTAGGTGGTGAGTGCCCCTTGTCTAAGGGCTGGGCAGTAGCTTGAAGCACTGAGTATTCCCATGTTTGCTGGTGGAGAGCCCATGAGCATTTGGGCAGTAATTTCCAATGGCATCTGTGATGTGCTGGCATTGCCATACCTCTGGGTCTCCTCCTCTACTCCCCTAGTTGTCCAGATTTCTGGCACAACATGACAGTGTTCAACTCCCTACTCTTGCCAGATCATTCTTCCCCACTGTCCTTGCTCATGACCTTTCCCATGCATTTTGTTGCCTCAGAACCTTTATGCTGATACAACTTCCTCCCAATCCTATCATTAATAAAAACAATATAAATCACTGTTATTTATTGCATGAAATACTTTTTGTACATCATCTTATTTATTCCATGTAGAAATTATATTTCTCTTTTTACAAATGAGGAAATGGAGGCTCAGAAATGTGGAGAGGATTGCCTGAGGTCACAGAGCTTTTAGCAGAGTCAGGATTTGAATCTAGGCTCTTATGATTCCAAAGCCATTTGAATCCCACCTTAAGTGGAGGTTCATCAGGGTAGGCTCAAATTTCATCTCAGGGTCTTAGGAACTATTAGATCTTAGGAAGTTTCTTGGCCACTTAAAACTTTTCTGGACCAACCTCCTAAGCAAGAGGTAATAACAACAATCTCTGGTTGTTTGTTTTGAAGATTAGATACAAGCTTAATACAATGCCCAGTAGATAGTAGCTGTTTCAAAAGTGTTCTCCTCTAGTGTCTGGGTTGTGATCCCAGACTTCCAACCAGCTTGTAGTGGCCTATGACAAGTGTCCTGACTTCTCTGGTTTGGCTGGATGATGTCACAGGGCCCACATTCTGCAATGCAGTGAGTCCTACATCTCAGAGCCTCAGGTCCATGCAGTGTCTGCATGACAATGTGCTTTGATGATATCCTGTCTCAGATTGCTCATAAATCATTTGGAGCCCTTGTGCCCCCATCTTTGGTATGAGAAACTCCAGCAAGAAGATCATGTCTGATGCTTCTCTGTGATCCTGCAGTACTTACCCTGCATTGAGCATACATGTATGTATTCCCTCATTCACCTAGGAAAAAAGCCATACTTTATGCCAGGCCCTGGTGGGAGGGAGGTGCTGGAATAAGCTTTTGATTAAGGCCTGACTCTACCTTTGAAGAGCTCACCTCTAGAGGAAAGTGCTCAGCTCATTCTTGAAAGTCATTCTTGATTGGCTAAAGTTCTTAAAATTTTATAGCTTTATAAAACTCAAAAGAACTCTTAGAATCTCATTTACAAGTTACTTTGGGGATTATCTCTTTCAGGTCCTTTGTCAGCTGGAATAGAATTATCTTGATGCTTAACTTCTTTCTTGTTGTATGTTGCATTGTCACAGACCAGTGAAATAGTGCTGACATTTCGGGAGACCTTCGTGATCATCCATTCCATCTTCCTGACACAGATGAGGACATCAAGGGTTAGGGTGTAGAAGGAGCTGGTCGGGGGCACACTGTCAGAGCCAGGACTGGAGTCCAGGGCCTCACCCCTGCCTTGTGTGTTCAATCTCAATCAGGGAAGAGTTCTTCCAGATAGGGAGGGGAACTTCAAGGCTGGATCAAAAGGATGCAGGAGAGTTCTACAGGCTCTGCTTTCAACTGCACAGGACATCTCTTTGTTCTAAATCTTTAAAAATATTTAAAGAGCTCTTTCCTTATATGTCCGCAGCCTTGAGGACTTGAGGCAAATTCAACCCTCCTTTAAATTAGGGAAAGAAAATCCATTCCCTTTTTACCCACACTGCTGGTTCAACAGTCTGAACACCACTTCCTTCTAAATTAGTCAACAACTCTTTAAAAACGAATTCCCAGAAATATGAGGCTCTGAGCTCTAATTTGGGATTTGAATACTTCCCCTTTTTTGTATTATTTTCCAGCCAAGCATCAAATTGCTTAAGTGAAAGAGCAGTTCTGGTTTTAAAAGAAAATTACATGTTTTGACTCAAAGTTAATCTTTGTTTTCTTCCATCTCTATGGATAATTACAATATGTCACTTTCTACCAGCATGCTGGCGGGAGTCTGTTGGCATCCTTGGGTGCTGGGCCGCCCTTCAGAAAAGGACCCTGGGGAGGAGCAGCAATGTGGGTACAAGAGCTCAGGCTCAGCACTGATTATCAAAGCTGAGACCCCACATTTATTTTGACCACAGTGACACAGTCATAGAGCTAAAGCCCAAAGTGATCCATGAAAGGGGATAAAATTAGACTAGAAAAATGAGCAGGCCAACTACATTTCTGTGGAAAGACAGAACATGAATGTGGAGGTGGTCTGACCTCTGAGTATGAGCTGGGTTCAGGCCCTCCACAGGCTGGGAGCATTGGCTCCACAGTGAGGTCATGATGTATGTATGTGTGTGCACAAGGAACAATCACCTATTCAACATGCTGGTACCAGGGCTTGTGCTGAAGAATCATAGATAGCCCCAGCCCATCAGGGGCTCCAACTTATGAAGGATAAAGGTATTCACTTATGCAAATAACACAATACTGAACAGTGTATAATAAGTACTCCATCATGTATCAGATTATGTCCTCTCTCAAAACCTTCATGGATCCCCATAATCTTCAAGGTAATATTCCAACTCCTCTTCTTGCTATTCAAGACCCTGACCTATATTTTAATCTTCATTTCCTACCTTTTACCATACCCTGGCCCCTGTAAGCACCTGCTTTCTACTTCTTCATGTCCCCTGTGCATCAGCCTGAACAGTTAGTCATTTTTTTGCCTCCATGTCTTTGTTCATCCTTTTTCCTCCTCCTGAAATGTTCTCCATTGCACCTTCAGACAGTATACTCCTACTTATCTTTCACATCTTGATTCCCTGTCTCTGTTCTCCTCCTGAGACAGAACTGTCCTCTCTACTAAGCTCCTAGCTGCACTGGGTCCATACTTCTATGGTTCTCTGCTGTCCTGGCCACTCTGAATGTAACTGGATATGCAATGGTAGAAATGAAGATGCCTCCAGACATCATCTTCTTCACCCCTTTACATTACAGAAAAGTGAGACCAAACCAGATTATATTTTCATACAACTTGGCAAGTATTTGGAGGCTGACAGGCACATTCTTCAGGGAGAAAGTAGGTTTTGAACTTGGTCTTAAAGGGCAAGAGAGTATTCCATGTTGAAAGAGAAAAAGAAGAGAGAGTATTCCATTAGGGGCTATAGGAAGGCAAGAAGCAGAACCTAACAAACACATTCTATGGCAACAACAAGGCCAGGATGTTCAGAAATGGTAAAGATAAGACCAAGTATTCATTTCCATTCATCACACACACCAGGCCTGTGCTTGGCTAGGGAATTATAGAGAAAAAGCAAACACATCAAATGTAGTCTCATGAGATAAACAGGTGATGATAGCCCACCTAGAAATGACAGGCTGAGGGATGGTATAATATACAAATAGCTATAGAAACCTGGGGAAATGAAAGGCCTTTTTCTGGGAAGTTGGCTCCCAAAGGAGGTGAGTCTGGAGAGGAAGTGAAGGGAATACCTTAGCAAAGGGCAGAAGGATGGGACATTTGCACCCATCTTTGATTATATAGGCCTTTGCCCTCCCAACCTCTCCTCAAATCATTTTGCAATGCACACCTATTCCCATGCCACCATCTACCTACAACTGCCCCACCTGTGACCAAACCTGAGCTTTTTTCTCTAGGGCCAACACCCATCTTATGTCTTATGTTCCTTTTGGGTGTTAAGAACAATACCTCTGGAAAGCATATGACTAACACCTTTATTTTTAAAGTATCTTCCTTAACCTCCACTTCACCAGTGCCTATAAGGCAGGAAGGACATAGGTTCTTCTCCTGTTTTAGAAGTGAAGAAAGGGAGGCTCAGAGAAGGGGAGGGACTGCCTCAAGATCACATTGTCTCACGGCTGGGGATGTAGCTCAGTGATAGAGCACTTGCTTACCATGCATGAGGCCCTGGGTCTGCAAACAAACAAAAACCAACCAAGCAAAAACTCAAAAAGATCAAATCACATTGTCTGTGAGCAACATTCCAGGAATGTGCTTTATAATGCCAGGAATTAAAGGTGTGTATGTTTAGACATAGCTCACCCACACTAGGAGAATGGATTTTCAGGTAGTAAGGCTGCCTGCTGGGGAGCTATGTTAGGGCAAGGTGTCCTTTGAGTGCTGTTACCTACTCCATCATTACCTGATTCGTGACTCATCAACAATGAAGGAAAATGGATTTTCCTAGGTCAGGGCATGATGGGCTGCAGGCTGTTTCTTCAATCCTAATTCAAATTTAGCCCAAGAGATACCTAGATTTATGGAATTTATCTCTTTATGTTGCACATTATAGTTATTATTCTTTTGAGACTTGGTCTTGCTATGTAGCACAGGCTAGCTTTGATCTCTTGATTCTCCTGTCTCTGCCTTCTGAGTGTTGGGATTATAGGCATGAACCACCATGCCTTGTGTAATTAATTTTTACAACTATCTCCTCTACTAAACTGTGAACAACTTGACAGCATCAATGTCTGCCTCTATCTTTGTCACCTGCAGGGTCTGTGGGACCATTCGTAGCACCAAGCACCATACATTTGCAAATTACAGCAGGGAAGTGATCATATAACCAACTTTTTAAACATTACCTAGCCTCACAACCTCACTGCAAGACTAAAGTACTTTATTGTCATTTTACTAACAAAACTCAGAGAAGTTAAATTCCTTGCCCAAAGTCACACCTCTCATTCATAGACAACTTGGAAATTGATACCACTTCTTTTGAGCTAAAAGCCCATTCTTCCACTGGAAGTAAATCTTGACCCAATGACTAATGAATGTCACATCATTTTACAATTAAACAATGTAACAAGGCAGTATAGGAGATAAAATGCAAAAGTGAATAAAATATGATCCCTGCTCACCAGGAGTTCATTGTTTAGTTTGTGAGCAAAACAGACACGTGAGCAAGTAGTAAATAGTGCTGGGTGCTGGGATGAAGAGATGACCAGACACATCTGTGCTCTTCCAGACCCCTGCGCTTATTCTGAAGAGAGATATTATGAAATGTCATGCTTAGGCTATGGCGAGGAATATAAGGAGACTCTGAAGCCCATGATGGCTATATGCAGAATGAGGTCCCAGGCCCTCTAAGCTGCAACTTTTTTATGGTTGTTTTCCAAGCCCTGGGGACTCCAAAGCAGGTCACGTAACTCTACTGGCCTTCTTCCAAATTCCAGGGTATAAATTTTCTATGTGTCCATCCCCATCTCATCCTGGAATGGATTGAACTAATTAAAATCAGTATAGAAAGGTACAGGTTGAAGCTGTACAATAGTTTTCTCTAGAACCAAAATAACACAATGTATCCATCCATCCATTCTAATAGGCATTCACTGAACTATAGTGCCTGCTTTGAAACATGCCCTAATCTGGGTTTGGGAACACAGAGAAGAGGATGACAAGACCACTGCTCCTAGGAGGTCACAGACCAGTGAAGGAGATAGACATGCACACAAATGATTTCATTACAACGTGTATATGTGCTGTCTTCTCTCTTTCTGTTATCTCCCCCTTTGCAGGAAAGAAAAAACCCCTCCCTCCAAGCACCCACTCCTGCGGGGCCTGGCCAGCAGCTACCCCAACAGCAAAGGGGACAAGAAGAGCTCAGTGAACCACAGAGACCCTTCAACCCCTTTTTAAAGACATGGAGTTTGGAGAGGTTTTGTGGGGAGAGAAGCATGCATTTCCTGCTGGGGCATGAAATTAATAATCCTTCTGTGTGGTTTTTAAGACAGGGATTTGTGAGATAATGCATAAACTAGTGAAAGGGAAGGAAAAAAAAAAAGAAAGAAATTTCATCATTGATCTTCCCTTTCACCAGTGGAAAATCAGTTGTGGGCTTTCACCACAAAGCTGAACATGTTAGGAGACTGGAACCAGGTGAGCACAGATGTTATTTTCCACAACACAGAGATTCTCACAGGATTAGGAAAACCTACACAACCCTCTTAAGAGGTCTGACACATCTCAGGTTAGTTCCCTGGAAGCCCCTTTACCTTTCAAAGTTACACAGTTACTACACAAAGTGTTCCCTTTTAAAATAAGTTAATTACTGTTGTTTTTAGCTTTAGAAATGCAGTGTTTATGTTTTCTGAACCAAAACAATAGCAGAAACATATGCAACCCAAAGTCAAATGTATGGTTGTGAACAACAGGACAGAATTTTTGAAATCACAATGGTTTTATTTATGTGGTTACTGTATCTATAGGCTGCATGCTTTGTGATTCTCACAAGCCCCAGCATGCAACTTCAGAAAGCTGTTCTGAGATCCATTTCTCAACTTCCTGGGTAGTTAATTGAGCCTTAGCTCCAAAGACAAAAAGTATTGCCCATTCATTCCAAAAGATCTATCATGGTTAAGGTCTCCAGGTCCCTGGTGACAGGGATCAAGTGAGGCAGGCATTGATAATCTGCAATGAGAAAAGAGTGATTGCCAGGTAAGGGAGGTACAAAAGACAAAAGAATGCACCCCAAGGGAGGTAAGAATGATAAAAAATAAAGAAACAACAGTAGCAATTCCCAATGTGAGGCAAGCTAAATATAAACTTTTTTCTGAAAAGTGCCTTTGTATGATGAATGGGTCCAGGGGAGTCTGCTCCCTTCCTGTCTGTGAAAGCAGCGGGCTGAGTCACTATGACAGCCTGCTAATTAAAATGACCTCCTGGAAATGAGGATTTGGAGATAGGGAGAGAATAGAGAGGCTCCAGGGAGAAAGGGTCTTTAGCACACTGCTCTGGTTAAGCATTCTTTCAATCGGTGTTGGAGATTTTCGAAGTTTGTTGCAAAAAAATCAAGAGCAAAGCTTGATCTTTTTTGCATATTGTTTTTCAGAAATGATAACAATGAACCCCATGTTAGTTGGCTACAAATGTCCTGTTGTATATATAGCTTCTCTGGGTTTTTGTTGCCTAGTGGAACACAAATAAAGTGGTTTGTGCAGCTCCTCTGTTCCTCTGAGTGTTCTTGGCACCTTTCCCTTTCCGTCTCTCACCCCTTCAAGAACCAACCAACCAATCCAAAAGTGGAGTAACCCTCACTTTGAGGTCAGAGATTCTGTCATCAAGAACAGTCAGACTTGAACTTCCAGCAGTTCCTATGTCAGAGTCCTAGGGAGTTTAATTCACTGCAGCCTGCTCATCACAAGCCAACAGTGTGGTAGCTTTGGGAAATGGTAGCATTACTTTAGATACCATGGACAGAGGAGGATTGAATAAAAGATTATAATCTAGATCTATCTTCCTCAATTGCCTATATGTCATGATTATAGTTTAAAATCTGTGTTGATTAATTAGACCACAGGCCACATATAGCAGGCATGCTAGTGACTTAAGAGCAAAACCTTGCAGGGACAGGCAACTCTGAGTTCTAATTCTGAATTCAAAATTTGGTTGTGTAATCTTGGAAAAATTATTTAATTGCCATGGATTTCAGTTTCCTCACTTGTAAAATGGTAGTGGTATTATCTTCTCATTATGACAGTTACAAAGATTTAATGAACTTAGGTGTGGGAAATAACCAGCCAAAAAATTTAAGTGCTCACTAAATGATAGATATGATTATTTGGAATGTGACCAGAATGATGAGGTGGCATTCCCCGTTAGAAATGGATGAGGAGACTAGCTCTGTTTATCCTTGGGATTAAAAAAAAAGGTAAGAGAAAGTATCAGTGGGAAAGCAAGCTCACTGTCCCTACAAAGTTGAAGGTATACCATGGGACAAAAGAAGCAAACTTGTTCTATGTTGCCCAGAGGTAATAACCAAACACAAGAAGTAAGTCTAAGACAACCTCTATTCAGGATGAAGAAAACTTCTAGTACATAGAGTTGCTAACATTAGATGAGTTCCCCTGGAAGTTAGTGAGCTCCTACCACCAGAAGTATATAAGCAAAGTCTGAATAGACATCTGTCAGGGAGAAAATAGAGGGGGTTCCTTCTCTAAGGGGATGCTGGGTTGGAAGCTGGGATGCTCTACAGCATCGACTTAGTCTGTGACTCTGGAGAGAAATGACATGACAGGAGGTTATATTTCTGAATAGCAGATAATGGAGGGTACAGTATAAAAGGTGTCATTTAGCACTAAAGCAAGATAAAGTGTCTCTGAATAATAGTGTGTGGACACTGCTAACATTTAACATTCCTTAACAAGGAAGAAACATGGCTACAAGGTAGACTGTAGAGTAAGTTTGCAGAGCAAAAATGAAAAGACTGGTCAGGGGTTGTCAGTGACCTTGGTCTGCTCAGTTGCTCCTTAGCTCTCAGGCAAGGTTATACCTATGAGGTCAAGTTGGAAATGACAGGGTTTCAGCACTGTGATGGAAGACACCACCAAGCCGAGGGGTAAATCAGCCAGATGATAGTGGCCCATCCCTCTAGCCTACCTTTACATCTGCCCACTTCTTTTCAGATTAGAATCACAAATGGGAAGGACTGATAACAAAACCAGAGTTCTGTACATTTCTGAGAAGGAGACTGAGACAACAATGCAAAAAGGAAGGGTGGGTAGGTACATGGTGGGTCTCCACCTGGTTCTCACACAACTGGTCATTACTGATGGAGTGCAAGATTTGTCCTGTATTAACCCAGAGGCTCCCAGACAGGTCTGAAGTTCTAGTTACCCCACAAAGCTGTGGCAGATGAGTAGGGGCTACAAATTTCTGTGCTGCTGCTGCCTACAGCAGAGGAGGCTGGGTCACCTGCCTTCATGACACTGTTCCCTTTGCAGCAGCAGGAGGGGTTTCTATTAGGCACTTTTCTCTTGTGGCCTTTTGAATGGGGATGGAGAGGATGAACTTGTATCCTTTTGCTGTAACTCAGTGACACACCTGCGGCCTGCTTAGAGAATCCCAACTCATATTTTTAAATATAAAGAGCAGAACCAACCAGGGAAGTAAGTAATTCATTTATTAAGCATGGATTCATACATCTACCATATACTTATGTACATATTGCTTTTGTAACCATTGTCTTATTTGATATCCTCAGGAGTCTCATGAGGTATCACTTTGTACATTTCCCAAGTGAGACCACTGAGAATCCTAAAGGTAAAATCCTTTGTTTGAATTCATATGTCTGGTAAGGACCTAAATTCAAACATAACTCTTTTCAACATACTGGGCCTTGTCCAATTATCTCCAGATAAAATCAGGTCAAAAAAGAAAACAGGAAAAAACAGAATAACAAGTAAACAATGGCAAATTTAGAAGTGGTAAGCAAAAGGGAGATGGGAAGGGAACATGTGAATTTTCAGGTTTAGAGATGGTATGGTGTTACATACCTGTAATCTCAACACCTGAGAGACTGAGGCAGGAGAATTTAAAATTTGAGGTCAGCCTGGGTTATATAGTGAGACCCTGTCCTGAAAGAAATAATTCCAGAATCAGAAAAATGTGTAAGGATTCCAGAACTTCTTAGTACTTGCTGCTGAAATTCTGTCTTTTTCCCATTATGCATTCCCACACATCTGTCCAAATTCTTCCAGGTTACTCTACAACCCTTCAGAGCATAGTGATTTGGCAAGAAGCTGATTTATCACTTTGTAGATGTTTCTAGCTCGTCCAGGACCCCTGGAAGCTGAGCAAAGCAGTCATTGCAGGGGTCGTCCTGGCTCCTCTGCAGTAGATAATCTAGCCCAGGTATCTAATCACTCCTCCTTCTGGAGTGTTGAAGCAAACCTACTGTGTCCTCAATTGTTGTTCAGAATTCTTCTTCTGAGTCCCTTTGAGGGCATTAAAATTAGAAGGCCTTTCCTCGGAGGCTCAGCTCAGCCCACAGTTACAAGGTCAGAGAGGACAGGAGAGACATAAAAGGAACAGCCTGAGTTTAAATTAGTCAGATCAACCCAAGCTTGAATACCCATTCTTCTGTTTACTTGCTGTGTGGTTTCCTGCAAAGAGTTTGGCCTCTTTAGAATTCAGGATCCTCATCTGCAAAATGAGAGTGATTAATACCTATTTCCCAGTAATATTGAGGAGTCAAAATAATAATGTCTATAAAATATGTGTGGCACAGAGTGTAACTCTTTCTCCAAATCACTTCCACCCCTGTCTCACCTGTCACCTGCTTGTTAGAGTTAGAAATTCCTTTTCTTGGGGTCAAAGTGCAGACAGAAGTATGAACACCTGAGGAGGGTAGAGTGAAGAGATGTCCAGAAAAATGACAGGTGCCCTGAGGGATCACTGTCAAGACAAAAACTTGAGTTGTGTTCATCATTGTGGTCTCAGAACTTAGCGCTGGTCCTATAGCAGAGTCTGAGCTCATGAGTAGAATGAGCCAATGATGGGGCAGGGTAGTCTAGAGGCTCTGAGCCCTTGACAGATAGAAAAGAAGTAATGTAAGTACAGATGGAAAGACAGTGTTGGACACAATATTCGTTCCACCTTAAGTGAAGCTGAGTTCAGCTGAGTTCCTTTGTCTGAAGAGTGGGAAATTGCCCTGACCAGCACACATCTGAGTTTGGTGAGAGCAGGAGTGGCTGATAGTGACAAGGGTGCTTTGGGTAAGTCCTGAATTTCAGCTGGCTGGGCATTTCGGTATGATTGCTTCATAGCGACCATCTCTGAGATGTTGCATGAGAAAATAGCAGAGAGAAAGTCAGATATATATCCTTGTAAGATTTGTTTGCTATTTTAATAAAACATGG